TATATTTAAAATTAGTATACATAAATATTTTAAAATATATAAATCATATTTTATATTTATGATAAATAATTTGTGTTGTAACAAAAAAATTATTTATTAATAGTTTATTTTAAAATATTAATATGTAGTTTATAAATAATTATGATAAATAAAAACTAAATTAGATAAAAAAAAATTAAAAAAGTCTCTACAAATATTCATATTGAAGAAAAGTCCCTAAAAACATTTTTATGTAAAATAGAAATCCATGTTTAATATATAGAGATTAATATTTTTCATAAATTGTTATTTAAGAATTTAATTTGTATGTACTTTCAGCGTAAGTATTTTCACAATATAAACTAATAAGAAGTCATCTTAAATATAACTCTTAAAATAATCATTATAAAACTTAACAAATATAACTAATTTTTTATTTAAATTTTATATTATATCACTGGTGGATCTTTAGTATTCAAATTGTGTGATAAACATACAAGGAATTACGAGAAAGGAATGAATATTGATAATTCAATCTTAAAGTAATATTTATGACGGTCTTTACAACAATTTTGTTGTCTCTCATTTAATATGTGTATTAAAAATTGTCTCTCCAAAACATCAAATCCACAAACACTAGAACAAAGATATCCACACTGTTTTGGTTAAAAAAATAATTACTTTTTTCATGTAATTTTATCAATTTTACCTTTTAATTTTTACAGTTAAAAATGATTCATTTTAGTTTTTATACATATCATTTTTTTTCTTTTAATCTATCCTATCTATTTTTATATAAACTAAAAAATGATATTTCTAAAAGATAAAGTTTATGAAATTATAGAGATTAAAAAAAATAAAAATGATATATATAAAAATAAAAGTAAAATACTTTTAATTGTAAAGATTAAAAAATAAAATGGATGAAACTATATGATCAAAAGAATAATTAAAAAAAAAATCAAGTTATCCACATGGAACGACTAGGCGGAGTAGTAAAGAAGGACATAGAAAGAGAGGCTAATGGGCCCAAAGGGTAATAACTAACTAACAACTACAAATTTGGTGTAGCCCAATTACATTATATCACTCACACTACCGTTGGATATTCTTGGTAAATCCGTGACATTAGCGTGGCTCATCTCGTAAATCCGTTACACTAACGTGCCAAAAGAACAGTGGTGGTTCCCGCTCGCCCTTATTTGAATTTCGGAAGGAGTGTGCAGCAGAAGCAGACACAGTAACCGATTCATTCATTCCATTTCACAGCCAATGCAAAAACTACAACTCAAAGAGAAGAAGAAGTGATATCACATGGATTCCATTTCTAACCTTCCGCTTCTCGAGATCGCAGGCGAAGACGATTCGTTGCTGTTCGATGTTTCGGCAGCGTCCACCGACGTTTTCTCTTGCTCCCCTCTCCTTTCCCTCGGATCTAATCCTCCTCAATCCGGTTAGGGTTTTTCTATAATTTGTGATGAAAAATTGTTAATGTATCACTGATTTGACTAATGCACCTGCAGAAGGAAGAGAAGGTGGCGGGGGTGCGGATTCTGCAACTCCGAGTTCCTCGCTCGGTGAGAATGCGAACAAAGAGAACGCGGATTGGAACAAACCACAGAAGCTTAGCGTGGAGACTCAGAAGATGAAGAGGAAGAAGAGAGGAGGCGGTTACAACTTGCGCAAGAGCTTGGCGTGGGATCGAGCTTTCTTCACCGAACAAGGCATTCACATTCTCTTCTCTCTATTATCCATGAATAAACTGTAAAATTTGATATTATTAATTAATTGGTGTTGAACCTTACTTTTCAGGTGTTTTGAATGCGGTGGAGCTTTCTATGATTAGTGGCACGGTCTCTGCTAAGTCAGGGTTGAATCTGGAAGCTATCCAAGAAGAAGAGCCCGTTGGCACTTCGATAGAGTTGCAGGAAATTGAAGAGAATTTGTTTATGCATTCATCAGATGCTCTTCCCGTTAAAGATAGAAAAATTGGCTTATCTCCGAAGCCTGGTGCATTGGCTAAAGCTTCTCCGGCCCCGGTTTCCTTGGTTAGTCTATGTATACATACTCTTTACGCGATTATATCATAGTGAATAAAAATTGAACTTATTCTGATTTCTATTACATTAATTTTTTATACCTCTTTGATAGGCAAAGAGGAAAGTACTTACTGTCAATGATACTGTTGGGAATAGAGCAAAACGCAATGCTTGTCCGCGGTTGCCAGTAGCTTCGTCCTCATATCCTTCACATTGCTTTTTATTGATTAGTAATTAGGATAAATATTAAGTGGAGTGTCTGACATTGTGCCTGTGCTATGGAATTGAGTTGTCTGGTGTTTTTTACTTTCTTCATCTGTTGAATTATGAGTGTTTACCTTAACTCCTTTGCAAACTAAAAAGACCTGACACAAAGGCACCGAGTAAAGAATTGAAAGTCAATAGGATACCTGGTCCAAAATTAAATGTGTCTGCTACTGCAACAACTGCTAGGAGTGGAATGTTGACCTCAGGTTCCTCAAAGAGTAATCAGAATGGTCGTCCTATTCCTGGTTTGTTCTGCAACTTGTGTTTGTTTGTTATTTTTTCCTAGGATGTTTGACAAGACTGAATTGGAGTGAAATGATTTCAAGTACAATTGTTGTACTATTGCATAGTATGATGTGAAAATGGATCAGCTAATAAATTAATTTTGATTGAGGTTTGTAACCTCAATGAACTTCACAAATACAGGTTTCTTGAGGAACCAAACAGAAATTTCTTACATTAAAATGAGATGAATTTATTGGTTATATTTTGTTAATTTTTTTCTCTTCTACAGCCACTAATGTGCAGAGGCATGCTGGAGTAAAAGGCCTATCAAAAAATCCTAAAATTGCTCCAAGTAACCCAAAAGTTGGCCTGGCTGACAAATGTTCAGTTACTAGATCACTTGCCAAGCCGGCTGTGAAACATTTGGTAGGAACTTCAAACTTCCAGAGGCTGTAATTTTTTATTATTCATCACTTGCACCATAAAAATTTTCAATTCCTTTTATTTAAATATACTAGGTGCATAATTCTTCTCTTAAAACTGTTTGAGTGACAGGATAACTCAGTTTCAGAAACACATCCACCATCCAGAATGCATCAATCAGGAACTGAAGCAAATAAGGTTTCAGAAGCTTATCTCCCACAAGGTGCTTCTGACATTGGTGAGAAAAAGCAACAGACACAGTTTCAACCAACAAAATTGTCAGGCCTACGGATGCCATCTCCCTCATTGGGATTCTTTTCTCTATCTCAGGTATATTTGTTTTATTTGGTTCCTTATTTCATATTTTGGTGCATGTATAAGTAAAACAATGCTTATATGATGATCTTGTATTCATCCCTTTTGCTGTTTTTGCAGGCAAAAGCTCCCAGTTCACGTAGCCAATTGCAGAAAAGTTCTAAACCTTGCAAACCTTCTAACAGTAACATTCCTAAATTACAGAATTTAGAAACAATTTCTGTTAATGAGGCAAGACTACCGCATGCACCTGGTGTAAGGTCTGAAATTATCAAAGGAGCAGCCAAGAATTGCATTGAGGAATTAAGCCTTTTAAATGTAAAGTCAGAAGCAAGCATGCAAGTGGATAATAAGCGGATGGCTGGTGTAGAAGTGGAATATGATTCTATGGGTTCTAAAAAAGTAACAAAGCAAGAAAAGGTTGAAAGCATTCTTGAACATGTCAACAAAAAATCCAAGGAATGGGGAGAACTACATAGAAATGAGAATGATTCTAGTGTGGAGGATGTGGTATTCCCTAGACATGAAACGAAGCTTCTTTCAAAGAGTGATACCCAAGAGCAGTTGGAGAAAGAAGTTGAGCACCCTGATGTTTTGTCAAATGGGTATCGATCTGTATTTCAAGAACCACAGTCTATGCAATATCATGGCATACAGAGAACTTCAACAGTGAAAGGTAGTATTACAAATACTGTGCATAATGCCATGGGACAAGATGAAGATGAACAAATCAAACTTCTTGGTTCTGATGTTCTTACTTTAAATGAAACTTTGGTGCCACAGGAAAAGCATGAAACTTCTTATAAGCATAGTAGACTTTCTGGAGAGTTAAAGGAATACAGTAGTGTCAAGACTGCCCTTATAAATTCTGGTCTTAATGGCTTTCGTGAAACTGCTTTACCTACACAAGAAATCCACTTTAAGAATACTGAACAGGTAAATGGTAGTGGTGCTGATTTTGTTACAAGTGGAGGAGATGCACAAGTGCATTTATTGGACAGGAATCCCTCAGTCGATTGCAATGAAACCACCACTGAAAGTAATTTAGAGGCAGTTAATCAGCAGTTACCAGGGGAACAACTCAAGACTACAAGTACTAGAATTGAAGGAGAAATTAATTCAAAAGGAAATGAATCTCATGTAAACAGTTGTCAGCCAGTTCATATAATATCTTCCAAAGGTTCTCCACAGAAGTCTGTGCCAGAAATTAACTGTCCTGCTGAAAGTGAACCAAAAATAGCTAAAATTGAAGACTGCCCGTTTCCTGTAGATGATCAATCAGGTTTCATTCAGACAAGACCAGTTTTGGAAGGATGTGAAAAGGTTATTGACTCAAAAGCAATTCATGATAGTACTCAAGTGTTTGAATTGTATAGGTGGAGTAAAGATTGCTTAACTGCTTCTGCAACTGCTTGCAACACTGAGGTGGGCAATGTTTCTCAGGAAATCAGACCTTTTCATGAGAATAATCTAGAGAATCTCCACTTTTCATTCCAACAATCTCCTATGGAAAAAGCTGATTTTGATTCTAGTGAGAATGAAATGTCAACTGATAACTGCTGTATGATTTCTGAGTTGCAGTTTAGAGACAAGGGTTGTTCTACGGATGCTTCAATGCACTATGATGTTCTTCATGAAGATGAGAATTTGGTGCTAAACAATGATCACTTGATTGATCAGAGTGAATTTTCTGAAGTATCTGCAGATTTCATTTCAAACACCAAAGATTCTATTGGTAGCGGAGCTGAAAATTCCTCTGGCTGTTTACAACATACACTATTGGCTCAGTTAGTTCAAGAAGTTGACCGCACTAACAGAGAGATTGAAGAATCAGATGTGGAAGATGCACAAGTACAGTCGGCATACAACTGCAACAGTAAGCACTGCCTTATTACAAATGATAAGTTTCTATTGGTAGATAATAATATAAATGAAAATTCTAATGTTTCTGATTTTCAATTGACTGTTGCTGTTGGTATAGATTCCGAGAATGTTAATAGCGTACTACATTTGAATGGTGACTGGCTGCCCACAAATATTGCTTCTTCTGAAAAAATAAAGAAAACTAATTTATTTGAGGGTGTATTAGAAGGATGCGATATCTACACGAGTGAGCACAATACTTCCAATCGTCAAATTCAGGCTATGCCTGAAAACAAAGATGGAAATCTTGCTGTGGATGAAAGAGAAGAGCTTTTGCAAATGGATAATGCAAAAGAAGGTTCTTCTGACATACTGCCAGCAGTTGAAGTTCAACTTGATGACAAAATTATATCTTCTGAATGTGATTCTACTATACAAGTGAGCAAAGATTCTCTTACACATGCAGTTGCTTGGAAATCTGAGGAGCGTTGTGCTTTAAGTGAAAGTTCAAATTTTCCAGTTTCGGATAATCTAACCTTCAACACAATAATCCCACAGGTCTGTGAAATTAGCTCATTGAACAGTGAAACACTTTCAGATGAGTTACCTAATACCGACATGCAGCATCAATCAGAAGGAGGCATTTATTTTGCAGAAGACAGCAACAAAATAATTCCTTTGTGAGTAGCTTAGTTTGTGATAATAGTTGGTCAATTTTGCATTAGAACCCTTCCAATTCTACATAATTAAGTGATGTAATCTTTATTTTTGAATGGCAGGCACAAATCTGTGCCTAAAAGCCAGCAGGAAGTTCCTACAGTGAAGCCTCCACCGAATGCTGCTCCACTTTCTGATGAATGCTTAGCTGCAATTGAAGCCACTGGAGAGGTGACTTAGATTTCTTGACTGCCTGCATGTTTTTAATGACCGGTTAATAGGTTTTTTGCATAGAATGGTGTTTTGTGCCACATCAGTGTTCTTTTCCTGTTTTTGATTCTTGTGCTTTTTTTTTCTGTGGGATTTAACGTTGATCCTTTTTTAATAATTATTTGGTATGTTTTTATTGAACGATAGTCAAATTGTTTGTGTTGCATGTGGAAGTTGAATCAAAATTCCCCCAATGGAGGTTGGCCAGAAACTGGTTCTGCAACTGCTTGTGACACTAAGGTGAGCAATGCTTCTCAGAAAAGCAGACCTTTTCTGGAGAATGATGTAGAATATCTCCACTTTACAGCCCAACTCTCTTCATTGGTGAAAGCTGATTTTGATTCCATGGAGAATGATGTCAACTAATGACTGCTGTACCATTTCTGAGTTGCAGGTTAGCGATGATGGTTCTTCTAGGGATGCTTCAATGCACCATGATGTTCAATGTGATGTCCCTGTAAACTTTGAGCAACAAACTAGCATGATTATTTATTCTAAAGCTAATGAAATGCTTTGTGAATATGAGAGCTTATTGCCAAATAGTGATCATTTGGTTGATCAGAGGGAATTTCGTGAAGTATCTGCAGACTTCATTTCAAACACAAAAAATTCTATTGGTAGTGGAGCTGAAAAACCCTCTGGCCATTTACAACATGCACTATTGGCTCAGTTTGTCCAAGATTTTGATCACAATAACAGAGGTATCGAGGAATCACATTTGGAAGATGCACAAGTATCTGCAGATTTAATTTCAAACACGAATGGTTCTATTAATAGTGGAGCTGAAAAACCCTCTGACCATTTACAACATACACTGTTGGCTGAGTTTGTCCAAGATTTTGATCACAAAAACAGAGAGATTGAGGAATCACATTTGGAAGATGCACAAGTGCAGTCATTTACTGAAAATCCAGTGGCATTCAACTGCAACAGTAAACATTGTCTTGCTGTTACTAATGATAAGTTTCCTTTGGAAGATAATAATACAAATGAAGATTTTGATCTTTCTGATTTTGAAAGGTCTAGTGCTGTTGTTGTAGATTCCCAGAATGTTGATAACATACTGCAGTCAGATCTTGATTGGCTGCCCACAAATATTACTTCTTCGGAAGAAATCAAGAAACCAAATTTATTTGAGGGTGCATTAGAAGGACGTGATATCCATACAAGTGAGCACAATGCTTCCAATCATCATATTCAGGCTATGCCTGAAAACAAAGATGGAAATCTTGACGTGGATGAAAGGGCAGAGCTTTTGCAAATGGATGGTGCAAAAAAAGGTTCAGACATATTGTCAGTAGTTGAAGTTCAACTGAATGATAAAGTTGCATCTTCTGAAGGTGATTCTTCTTTAGAAGTAAGCAAAGACTCCCTTACAGAGGTAGTTGCTTGGAAATCCGATGAGCATTGTTCTTTAAGTGAAAGTTCAGGATTACAAGCTTTAGATAATCTAACCATCAACACAAGAATCCCACAGGTCTGTGAAGTTAGTTCATTGAACAGTACAAGATCTTCAGATGAAGTTGAAACTAATATCTTTGAGGAAGATGGGTTTCCTAATTCCGACATGAAGCTCCAGTCAGGAGACATTTTTTCTGCAGAAGACAACAGCAAAATAACTCATTTGTGAGTATCTTAGTTCTTGATTATATTTGATGATCAATTACGCTTTGGCAACCCTTCCATTTCTGCATCTAAGATGCGGTTTTCAATCTTGACAAATTGAGTGATGTATTAATTTTTTGAATGGCAGGCAGAACTCTCTGACTAAAATCAAGCAGGAAGTTCCTACAGTGAAGCCTCCACCAAATGTTGCTCCTTTTTCTGACGAATGGTTAGCTGCAATTGAAGCCGCTGGAGAGGTGTCTCAGATTTCTTGACTGTACCTGCATAGTTTTAATGACTGGTTAATATTTTTTGCATGGCGTGGTGTTTCACTTCAGTGTTGTTTTTCTGTTTTCAATTCTTAAGTTGTTTCTTTAGGGCTCTATCTAAACTTGGATTTAGTATTATTTTTTTGGTATGCTTTTTTTTTAATGATAAATTAGTCAAATTGTTTGTATTGCACGTGGAAATTGAAATGCATTAGATTCTGTTAATGTTTGATTCATCTTACACTTGAGTGTTTGCAGGAGATTTTAACGATAAAAAGCGGTGCTGTGCAAAATTCTCCCCCTGACAAGCCCCAGCATGAACCAAGTCCTTGGTCCCCGGTAGGTTCATCCTTCAGTATCTAAATTTAATTCCAATTCTAAGCGTAAATCTCTTGCGTGAATAATTGAATTTTTTTAATTCAAAGTCCTATGGATTCTCTCACCTGAATTGTTTTCATGCGAAAAATCTAACATGTAAGATGTATTTCCTACAAACAACACAAGCAAAATGGTCCATATTGTCTTCGTAGTATATGAAAAATAAACAGGGGACAGACTTCGTTTCTTGTAGTTGTTCCCTGGACCAGAATGGTAATATTCTCTATATTCCCATTTTATTCTCTTCGATGGTGACAGGGGGACAGCCTCTGCCTGCTCTACTAAAATGGGATTTTTTGCAATCTCGTTTTGTTCGCCTATCATTTCTACGAACTTAATCCTTAACATCAAAAGATGCAATATGCATGAGAACTTGGATGGCGGTGTTCCTTTGATTATGTAACCCGTTAGAACTTGGATGACAAGAAATGGTGGAATTTTCACATCCTTTATTAAATGCCTTTTCATTATCTCTACACCAATGTAACATCAAAATCTCCCCAATCTCTTTTGATTATCTTTGATGTCATGATAATCAACTCAGTTTCGCTTGATTCTTCTTTATTGCTAACTAACTATAATCCTTTCTGGTTGAACATGTTAAGAAGTTGCGTTATTGCTTTTACTTTCCCATTTCGTTCGTTGTCTTCTTCTATCGTAATGCTTTATATTTTGATGATATATTATTGCGAGTATTACTTTAATTTCTTTGTTTCATGTTGGTTTGCAGGTGAGACGAAAGAATCAATCGATTGGACCCTTTGATTGTACGAAACACAATATCCAGCATTCCAGTTGATGATGGATAAACTAGGATATAATCCTCATTAATCACTAACCATTTTTTCTTTTGCTTGATCCAACCCTTCAGCTTCAAGTTAGAAGACGTTGTACGGAGCAAAGTACGACGTAGATAGAATTGCCTGTTGCCATAACTATGCCTTGCCTTACTCCAAAGAGACTAAATGAATAAATAAATAAATGATTGTTCTCAAATTGTAAATGTGTAATAGTTTTTTACTTTATGGAATTCTAGTTTTCAAAGATTTCTACGAGGTATTAGATGTGACTTTATAGTTAAGGCAAAACAAAATAATTGTTTCTACTTTTCTATCATCATGATTTTCTGGGCTAGAATTGATTCTTAAGTGACGCTACAACCTACAGTGTCATAAACTTTAGTTCTTTTGTCACATTTAGAAGATACAATAATGTTGAATGTATTTTATATTTCCCTATGTTAAGTCTTTTTGTTTTTAATGAAATTTTATGCCAAAGATTTAGATATCATATACATTTATATTTTATAAAATTGAGTCTTTGAATGAAAATATCTTTTCAACCGGAAAAAAGAAAAAGCATTTACAATACATTTTTTTTATTAATTTAGATGACTTCGTTTGCATTAAGTATCTAATTTTATTTATTTATAATTTTGTATTTCCTTCAAACACTATTACTTGAATCTAATTTCAATTTTAGTTTGATTTAATTTAAAATTTTGAATATTGATATATTATATTAAATTGAATATAACTTTCTTAATTTAGATACGTATTAAAATTATGTAATTTTTAATTAATATTAATTTAAATTTGATTTTTTAACTTTAACATGTTACATTAATAAAAATAAAGTCTTGATTCATATGATTTGTTTTTGTAATTTCTTCATCTATTTTGAAAGTTCAAAAATCATTAATTATTAATACTAAAAAATACATATACTATTTTCTTTAATTTACTTTTTAAAAAAATTATTCAAATTTAAAGGGAATATAGTATGCCAAAAAAAAAATAGAAATTAGAAATTAAAAAAGGTGTAAAAAGTAAAGATTGCTAAATCTGCCTATCTATTGTAAGGAGACTCGTAGTATTACATAATCATCTTATATAAGACACGCATTAAACTTGAAAAGCCAGACGAAGGTCCACGCTTTCAATTTTCTGAATCATAAGGAAGTACTGCTCTTAAAATTTTGCTCACTGAATTGAAATCCACTATACAGATAATATAGCAGAAAATAGCTAAAATTAAGGTAGCAAGAAGTTACAAAACAAATAACTTGGGCAAGATACATGATGAGTTACCCAAGAAAGCAACCAAAAGGAAAATGAAAATGTAAAATTAAAAATTAATAATAACCCATCAGGGTTAAAAAAATCATGGAGATTAACGTTACATGGCACTATACAACAAAGGCACTCATCAAGCCTAACTAGTCACACAGATTGAATAGATTACCTAGGGAGTTTGATTGGCAACAAGATTGAACTTTCATTCAACTTGATCCTTTCCTGCTCTTGTTAGCAGGGAACTTGGTGACGAAAAAATTGAAAACGAGTTCTTATTTTTCCTTCTAAGCTTCAATATTTAAGCATACTCTGGATTGAGTGCTAATGCTTCCCTGTAGATCATCTCTTTTATTTGCTCTTCATCCAATTGCTGTTGCTCAAATTCAAAAGAGAATGCTTCCATGCAGATTGGTTCATCAGCTACATCATGCAGTTTTTCAAGGTATGGATGGGCTAGAGCTTCTTCAACTGCCAAAATTTAACCAAATACTTGAAATGAAATTTTGCCCAATTTTATTCCGATGCTAATGCTGTTATCATCAATGTTCAAAATGAAACTGCACGTCGCTTCATCTAGATACAGAAAACATAAAAGAATGGGAAAATTACCTGTAATTCTTTTGTTGGGATCAATTGTCAACATTTTATCAACAAGATCAATCGCTGCGGGATGAACATGAGGGAAGACCTGACCTAAAGGTTGGCGAGGGTATTGAGGAAGTTGTTTGATATATCTTCTCGCATCTTCATTTCTCATTAACCCAAGGTCAGCATCAGTTGGGGTGCCGAGAAGCTATGGATCAGAGAAGAAGGGTAAGCATGGAACCAGAATTACCTTTTATAGATAAATTATTGATTATATTCATGTTATTTAAATAAATTGAAACATTTGATAATCAAATTTGAAACATATCAAATTAAATGAGCAGCTAAATAGCATTTAATACAATTGTTTACATCAAAGTTTTGTATATTTTCAATCTCACCTCTGTCAATAGGCGCATCTGATGCACATGGTCTTTGCCCGGAAACAGAGGCTTTTTGTTCATAAGCTCCATAAAAATGCAACCAACAGACCACACATCTATAGCAGCGGTGTAATCGGAGGAGTTCAACAACAATTCGGGCGCCCTGTACCACCTTGTGACTACATATTCAGTCATGAAGTCACTCTCCAAAGCTGGTCGTGCGAGACCAAAATCAATAATCTTCAAGTCACAATTTGAATTCAGCAGCAGGTTGCTCGGTTTTAAATCTCTATGGATTATGTTTGCAGAATGTATGTATTTAAGCCCACGAAGAATCTGATACAAGAAGTACTGCAAGTACAAGAGCATCCGCTAATCAGTAAAACAGAAAGTTTCAATGTGAAAAAGAATAAGATTTTACAGAATGTGATTGTGAAACAAAATTTATAAAAAATAAAAAATAAAAAAAAATTGAAAGAACTCACTTGGCAGTGCTCCTCTGACAGACCTTGATTGGAGCGAATGATGTGGTGAAGATCAGTATCCATGAGTTCCGTGGCTATGTAGACATCATTAAACTCTCTACGCAAGGGTGGAGGAATGACATCTCTCAAACCAATTACCTGTTAAACAGACACATTTTAATCCCAACGAAATAGACAAACGTTGCGAACTCTTCTTTTACCAGTCTGGACTTTGATAACATTAACAACAGTGCAAACTTGAGCCGTACCAACACAACCAACTTAGTAAGCAGCTAAGCTTAAGTTAAATTTCATTACGTGGGCAAGTAAAATGTTATTATTAGCAAAATTTTACAACTCAATCCCAGTACCACGCCATCACGTGTTCCACAAATTAGGAAGTCATGGTCAACCTTGGGAAATGACTTGACTAGTAGTAGTTGGCTCTATTAAAACCCTACAAACGTGTCACCACTCACCACATGTATTTTACGGGTATTTTAGGTAGCCACGACATTTCATAAAGAAGAGATATGAAATCTCACCATAATTTTGGTTTTAGTTTTAATACACTATTACTGTGTAAAAAAAAAAGTCAACCAATCCAAAATTATAATTGATATCATTTTAATACAATTCTTGTATAATAAGTCAACTAACTTACTAAATTTGTGTAATTTGCTTAATTTTAATTGACTATTAAATCAAAATTTATATTACACTACGTGGCATGATCCAAACCGTTAATGAAAATAGTTTACAATACGATATATCTGTAAGTCAAACTTCACAAAGAAGAAAGATCACTCACATTTTCATGATCCAAATGCCTAAGAAGCTTGATCTCACGGAGTGTACGCTTAGCGTCCATGTGATTATCAAAAGCGTTCGCTATCTTCTTAACAGCCACCAACTCGTTCGTCTCCGTATTCAACAGAGAGCTTCAAAAATCGAATCAACAGAAACTAACTATTTCAGATTTCTTAATCTTACAAAAATAATAAACTAATAAGCACCGTCAAAATCAAACACTCACGCACTCGCTAACAATTCATTCACAGTCAAATCCTATTAAACCGAATCGGAGAAGCACACAAATTCTAAATTAAACCTATCGCGCTATCGAAAACACGAGAAACCGAAGAAAACGAAGCAGTACCAAACGATTCCGTACGCGCCGCGGCCAATCGGCATGATCGGAGGACGGTACTTCGTCGTAACCTCGAAGAGGTTACCGAATATGTTGTACTGAATGAACTGTCCGCCGTGCGTCGGAACCGCCGGAAAATCGGCGACGCCGTTCGGATTAACTCCGGCCATCACTACCGTACCGAACTTTCTCTCTCAAGGAAACGAAACTTTCTCTCTCTAGAAACCGTCAAAGAATAAGAAGAATACGATAAGAGTGGAAGAAGCTAATGGAGAGGTTTTAATTTAAATAGTGTCCGCAAGAGCGAGCGAGTCACCGAGTCAGTGCGTGTGTGCGTGCGTGTAAATAACTGTTTCGCTCCCTCGGTCAACTCGGCTGTGTAAGCACGTTGAGTCTTCACACTCTTT